AAAAAAAAAAAAAAAAAAAAAAAAAAATTTTGGTGAAAGAGTACTACCTGCAGATTTCAATGGCATTACATTTCTAGCTAAATTACAAACAAATATTAATGTCTGGCACCTTACTAGCCCCATCGTCTCCAAATATTTCAACTGACTATATGCAACAGGTTCTTGCAAGAGGCAACACTTCAGAGGCTTTATCCGCTGCCATCAAGATCAAGTCCAAACACCTGGGAGCAGCATGCACGGCTCCCCCCAGCGTGGCTCCAGCTTGGTCTTTCAGCCTCACTTTTGCTCCTTCTTTTCCTTCCACAGTTCAGGTGCTTCAGCCAAATAAGTTGATTAGCTTATTCCTGTCCCCAAAACACGGCTCCCTCACAGTTTGCTTATGCCCATTCTGTTCCAGCCTAATTCCCTAAACCTTTACAAACTCATCCATCATCCACATCCCCATTCTTTCAGGACCAGACCTGGCTGCGTCCTCTGCAGAGCAACCTGGGCGATGTGGCCCAGCGCCAAGCCACGTCCTCCCTCCAGCTGCCAGGAGCATTATTAATATTACCTCTCCTTTGCTTTTGCTCTGCTGTGACATCTTAAAGCCTTCTGTAGATGCTCAGTAAACCCTGCATTCAGAGAAGATGTTGTGTAGAGTAAAAAGAAACCTGGATTTGGAGTGTGAAGGCTCCATCATCGTCTCACCGTGTGCCTGAAAGGGGCAAATGGTTTAATAACTCTGAGCCTTAATTTTTAAATTTACAACAAGGGTCTTATACTGACATTAGAGAGTTTTTGTGAGAATGAAATGAGGTTAAATGAAATCGAGGGTCTGGGAATCCTTGGAAGCTACCTATCTCACTCAGGAAATGTAACTGAATCTGAACTGTTTACAGGATTTGTTTGACTTGGTGTATCTCCATAGTAATGTAATAATTTTGAAAGCAAGAATTATACCAAAATATATCTGTGATTGATTAATTTCAGTGCCTGGTATTTTTTTAAGGGCACTTAATAAATTTATTTGATTTATTTAAAAACAGCTTTTAAAAAGCTCCCTCTAAGTTATGTAAGGCACACTATTTTTTTGATTTTTTTTAAAGATTTTTATTGGGGAATTGGGGTGATGGGAACAGTGCTGGGGAATTGGGGTGATGGGAACAGTGCTGGGGAATTGGGGGAAGGGGAACAGA